CCATCCCCTATCTACTGATCCACTTATCTCCTCATTTTCCTTACTTTTCTCTGTTTCATATTCTTATTCATTGATAAGTTGAATTGCTTCACTTGCTGTTATTCTCGCTTTAATAAACAAGCAGGAATGCATCGAGAAAAGTCTACTTTAATTATTTAAAAATTGCTACATGGTAATGCACAGAACATCATTTATCACTATTATGCAAACATATGAAAGGGTTCTCCACATGTTTTAATTCAAGCACAAATCAAGTACGGGTCAAGTTAAGACGTTGACCCATTGTTCAAATTGCCGTTGTTAAAATCAGAGTGTACAAACACCGTGTACGAGATGTTGAGCGGATTCTGGAAATTTAACTTCTGCCTCTATGCGTTCATCAATGAACAATTTTAAGTTCCTCAGGCATCCCATGAAAGGCGGCACCACTGCTCCACTATGGTGATCCGATTGCATCTGCGGTGTAATTTCTGAAAACGAGGAAGGGGGGGGGAAGCGGTTAGAACGTGTGGCGAAGAGATATTGGGCGTTTGGAAAAGAGACCCACCTTCATCAGAACCGTAGAAGATACCTCTTAGAGGACCTACAGTATTCATAATCAAGGATTGGGCAGATTCGCCTTGGGTACTGATTTCAATGATGGACGCAAATTCCTGCATACTGATCTTCACCGAGGCGTAGTGCCAGGCGAGTGGTTCCACAGTGCTGATACTGAAACTCACCTTCTCCTCCATTGTTATATCGGTGACGTAGACCTAAGATGGAGAGGCATTGTGTGACTGACATTTTGTGAATGAGGAAATGTGTGTATGCGCGCGTGTGTGCATACCATGTAGCGATCAAGGTAGATCCATATGCGAATTGGCTCCTCGGGTTCGTTCAAATTCTCAAAGACCATCACGAAGAGACTTTCCACGCCTATCACTTGTGCATCATAGAGGACTTCGAAGGAGAATTTGACGGAGGTCATGTTTTCCGTGGCCTTGGAGTCAACGTTCACTAGAAACATTGGCATTATTAAATAAGTATTATATTGTTTGATGCTCAGTAACACAATTTGGTGCAACTGCAACTATTATAATTTACCAAAGAACAAATGTCACATATTTGTGACAGTGGGCTCAGCTGATCAAACCAAAAACGCCATCGATAGTAAAATTACTGATTTTC